GGTTTTTGCTTTGTGTTTTTTTTTTTACCCACACCAGTTAAGGGATTGGGGGGGGGGGGACAAGTCCGACCCTGCACTTTCTTTATAGGTAGGTGCGGTATTTTCGGCCCAACTGCTGGGCATTTTGTTTTTTCGTGTAACGGAGTGTTTAAAAAAAAAAATCTTAGTCCGGCCCCTCACAGCCCTAACCCCAGTTACGCCACTTTTCGCTACGCTATTTCATATTTATTTCAAGTTGCACGAAGAGGTAAAAAAAAAAAAACGCGAATAGCCAGGAGCGCAGTGCATGTATCATTGAATAATATTTTTTAGGATTAAGTTAATTTTGATTTGCAATCTCGATCAATATCACAGTCATCGATAAACTCGTCAGACGAAGCACATCAACGTTTTTTTGTTTTTTTTTATTCAATCGCATTACGTTGATTGTTGTTGCACGTATCGATTCCGTTATCGTCTTCGCAGTGTTTAAGGTCCATCCACCCTGGTAATTTTTTTCTTGTCGTCTAGCCAAAGCCAACATTTCATGATGTCAGTTTGAGATTGTCATTGTGTAAATGTCATGTAAAATGACACTAACTTTCTCACGCGGGCTCATAAATATTCCCCTAGAAGGGCTTTAGGATTGGAAATTCATTGATAACGATATGATGGTGATTGGGCGGCTGTGTGGTTTGGTGCCTAGCTATTGGGTGGCCTTGTGGTTTGGTGACTGACTATTGGGGGGGGGGCGTGTGGTTTGGTGCCTGGCTATTGGGTGGCTGTGTCGTTTGGTGCCTGGCTATTGGGTGGCTGTGTCGTTTGGTGCCTGGCTATTGGGTGGCTGTGTGGTTTGGTGCCTGGCTATTGGGTGGCTGTGTGGTTTGGTGCCTGGCTATTGGGTGGCTGTGTCGTTTGGTGCCTGGCTATTGGGTGGCTGTGTCGTTTGGTGCCTGGCTATTGGGTGGCTGTGTGGTTTGGTGCCTGGCTATTGGGTGGCTGTGTGGTTTGGTGCCTGGCTATTGGGTGGCTGTGTCGTTTGGTGCCCATTGCATTCACCAGCAGATGGAGCATTTTAAATCTGCAGTTTGTCTAACGGTTGATTGTCCTTAAAAATACTAATCCACTAATCCACGAATCCACTAATATCCCACCGAGATGATATAATCGTCCCATGGAGACAGACGTAGGACAAAAGTAGGTAGATTCCAGTCCTTCCAATTAACCAAATTTCTGACATCGTTTTAATCATTTGGCTGACATCTTAATGTGTGACTACCTGGCTCGGTTATAGGAAAAGAGCGTGGGACGTACCACTTAAATAACAGATAATTTTGTTACATATGTCTACAGTGTCACCGTATTTGGAAAAATCTTTAGATAATATTAATTTAAGAAAAAAAAAAATTCTTTCAAGAATCGCTAACAATATTAATTGAATGTTTCACCATTGGACTTTCACGTACGAAGGCAAAAATTCGATTTTTTATTTCATTTCTTGTAAATTAGTTTGATATATATTTTTTTATATTCTTGCATTTAAATCAAAACTTTAAATCTGCTGTTTGAGAAACATTTGATTCTCCAAATTTTTTTTTTTCCACCATTACACTAAATATCGTATCCCACCGATACGATATAATCGTCACTTGGAGACAGACGAAAGAAAAAACGCGTTTACTCTCCAAGCCTTAGAGTTCAAAGTCCCCGGAATCCATTCTACGCCAACTTATCCTTGTGAACCGGCCGCACACAATGTTACGTAACAAAATGGCGTCGCTTTCTTCAATTGGCTGACATTTACTTGTTGCTACCTGGCTCGCTATTCGCCGGACCGTGGTGAAGCATCGCTTAAATAAAAGATAACATCGCCACATATGCATACAGTCTCACCGTATATGACAAGATGTTTAGATAATGATCGTAAAAAAGAGTAGTCGTTGAAGAATTGCAAACCACATAAAATGATTTTGCAAGGTACGTCATTTGGGGTAGGGTAGGGAAGGGCATTAGCCCGCGAGTTCAACCCCTGAACTAGCAAAATTTGTTTTTTCCCCACTCGTTATCAGTATCTAGGACAGAAAAAAAAAACCACACGTAGCAGAAAATACGTAAGGGAAAAGAAACAGAGAAAAATGATTCTTAAATTTAAAATTATCAATAGAAAACATGCGTCATGATCTGGTTAATCGTATTTAAATTGGTATGTGTTGAAGCCTCCAGTAATAAAAGATTGAAATGGTACTTTAGGGAAAT